GCATTAGGCCGATTCTCGTTCGGAAAGAGCGGCGTCTTTAGCATCCGCAACTCAACACTCGGATCCCGCAGTACTGGCTCCTCATTCGACAGCGGTTCCAACTCCCCACGCGGCTCAGGCGCATCTACACCTACCGGCGACATTGTACGCGCGCCCGGTGCACCAGCTGGAATTACGAACACCAAGTGCAGGCTTTACGAGCGAGAGTCACTCAAGAAATGGCGCGACATGGGCAGCGCACGCTTAACAATAATGCTGCCCTCACCCAACCCAAGCGTGCCATCCTCGCCTACGAACCCACGACAGCGCGCACCTGGTACCAGAGATCATACCCAGGAGCGACGCATTCTTCTTACAGGCAAGAAACACGGCGAAATACTACTTGACGTCACTTTGTCAGAGACGTGCTTCGAGCGCGTCGCACGCAGTGGTATTGCTGTCAGTGTATGGGAAGACCACTTGAATGAAGACGGTCAGGTCGGCGGCGTCGGCAAGACGGGTGGTGTCTTGGGCGCAAGAGCGAGGGTCTTCATGGTGCAAATGAAGAGTGAGAGGGAGTGTGCTTACTGCTTCAGTTTACTGGGTAAGCTGAGGTACTAGGCCACGAGTAAGGAAAGAGAAGAGAGGGACATGGACCGAAACGGCAAGCGCAACACAGCAACTCACAACACGCCGCTACTGCCTCTGTTGCGCACTGCATATTGTCACCACCATCGATTTTGCGTTTTCATACTGCGAGCAAGCGTGGCGTTTGTTCATGGGATTTACACGGGCGGTGTTTCAAGAAGGCCTCTGCGATACCACTTCCACTTTACCCACATACAATTTTTCACTTTGTAATCACGCTGTTGTGTTTCTTACTTTCCTTGTCAATACTGGTCTTCATGCATATGGATGGAGTGTGTGTCTTTCTTTGTTTTCCATGGGGAATATACACGTGTCTTTTGCGCTTGATACCAGGTGTGTATTTGTTTGATGGTTCTTGGTCTTTTCGGTAGTGGGATGAGGAGGGGTGTGTGTGTGATGAACGAAGCTGTGATAGTGGGGGTGAAGTGAATAGAACTAATGGAAGATGTGTCGACAATTTATAATTTCCGTGCTGAGCTGACGGATACGTGTCATTACGATGACTCCACTGTGATGGCATACATCTTCTTGGCGAATACATGTCGCTTCGAGGGTTATAACTATTACGACAAACATCCAACTGCCGCTTACATGACCTTCAGTACTTCGGCCTCGCCCACCGCGCCGTCTTCGTATCCACGATGCCCTCGTATGTACACTCCTTTGTGTCACCATACAGCTCCATGTCGACGCCCAGCTCCTTCGCCCACACAAGCTCCGACTGCTTTGAGTCATCCCTGTTGACCTTCAGGTGCACAGCCACAGGCTCCGACTTACCTCCAGCGTGCTCGACGAAGTCCCTTACTGTGATAGAGAGATACTTGAGTCCTCTACACTCACTTGAGACGATAGCGAGGACTTCGTACGCAACACGCTGGAGTGCCGTGCTGATGGCCTTGGTGCCCATCCTAGGCTCTGTTCCCAGGTTTGCGACAAACAAATGTAGGTATTCGAGTCCATAGATAGTGGAGAGAATTGTTGCTTGTTCGCCAACATCTCTCCACATATCGTCACTCAAGTGACCTACTTCAATCGCATCCCAGAGCACTGGGCAAGGAATGCCGACGTGTCTTAGATCTGGGAAGTACTGACCCAGAAGTTGTAGTTCCTGGTCAGGAACTTCTGACCTCTCTCCAATGCGCAGGGAAAGTGTCTTCAAAATCGGAGGCAACTTGCGCAGTAGGTGCCCGATGCCATACACCTCGCTTTGTCTTGCCTTCTTTCGCTCTTTTCGCGATACAGGCTTTGTTTGGCCATTGGCATCAGGAGCGCTGAGCGCAGTTTTGACTTGCTCGTCCGAGATGTCTCTTCGCGCGTGGAAGCAGAAGTGCTCCAATTTGCTGCAATGTCTTGTCACATTGCGAAAGACTCCATCCCGTACTTCTGGGTTCAGCTTTGGGTAATCCCATAGGTAGATGAACGTGTGTAGATCAGAGTTTCTGAAGGCATCGACGCTTGTGAATTGGCTTAATCCTGGGCAGTTGTACAGGCGTAAGAGACCGATCTTGTTGACTAGATAGGCATGTTGTGGAATGTAACCCGTCTTGAGAAGGAGATTGACTTCGGCCACTCGAAGTTCTTCCAGTATGATACCGTTGGGCATTTGTTCGAAAAGTCGAACCAGCACATTGTCCATCAAAGTGTTGTCTTTATAGTTGTCGTTGACGATCGATACTGAATGGACGCGGTATTGCCGCTTACTGTCGATCATCCCACGAACGATATCCGCCGGCGCATATGGGGCGCATATCAAGTCGAGCGGTCGGTCTTTGAGATCATCGAAACGCGTGCTGGGTGCAATTCGAATGAGTCGGATGCACATGCCAAAGTGACCGGTAAGCTCTCGGATCTGCGGAGGTGCATTGCCAGATAGATACTTTCCTGGGGGCGCCCGTACATGTGGTCCGATTAGTGTGTGACGCGTGACCGATGCGTTGTGAGATCTGATCCAGTTGCGCTGGTCCTTGTTCCGTGGATCTATGAATGTCCAGAGGCGCCGCATGAAGCCGTGCGTGCCTTGGATTCGAGTCAGGTCTCCAAAGTCGTGACTTGGTATCATGAGAAGTTCGGCCTTTGGTAGATGCTGATAAGTTAACAGCATCTGGTTTAAGACCGATTCGACCACCATGCTGTTGGGCCTAAACATTATCGCCCTGACCGGGGTGTGCTTGAAGTTCGGGAGCACGGTAGCCATGAACAATTCATATCGTGGAGGTATGTCGAAGGTGATGGCGCGGAAGTTATGTGGATGCGTGAGTAGCGAGGAGGTGTTGTTCAGGCACTGCGCGCTCTTTTTCGACATACACAGCTCAGCATATCTGACGAAAATGCGCTGTAGTTTCCGAGTCGCACCTTTGTATCCGGATCGAGTCGATAGCAGTAGGAGGTTATAAAAGTCGTGCTGAGAGAGCTGTAAAGTGTTAGATTGATCTTATACGTGACTTGTCCCGACCTTACATATTGGCAGACCAACTCCATCAACTCTTCGGGTAGAGCCCAGAACACTTTCTTGAGAGATCGTAGTCGGGTTATATCGAGAGTCGGGCGCAAGCGTTTGGGGGGAGGAGGCTCGTCTGGGCCGCGATCATGTGGAATCTTCCGTTTATCGAGTCGCTGAGCATTGCCATGCTCGCTAGAGTCTGCGACAGTAGGGCGCTCATTCAGGTGTATAGGAGATTCAGAAATCATGCTCGCTGGAACGTAGATAGCTCCGCTTCTGAGGGGCGTCGCGTGCTGATAATTAGTATCGCGGGGTGGAGTGTTTGGAATGGAGTACGCGCGGGTGACTGCGACGGGCTATGAATTGCCGCATTGCCCGTTGCGGCTCGCTCGAGACCCAGATAGGAAAGCGACATTTTGTAGTGAATGAGCGTGTACTGGTGAAAGTGAAGCGGCGAAAGTCACTCCTCCACCGCACCTCCACCCAGCCACTGGCGGTGGAATGAGCGGGCTCTCGACGTGATCATCGACTTATAACTTGGACTTTGAGAACCGCAGAAGCAGATGGTAGTGGCTTGAAAGGCGTGTACTATAGGACTAGAGTCACGAACAAGACATTGACGAGAATTGCTTTCTGAAGCTCGGTCATTATGGAGGCCTGCCTCGGATTATAGGATATATAGGTCAAAGTCGAAGCGGTGAGTAACAGAAAAAGAGTTGGCAGTGGTGGTCCCGAAGACGAAAGAATAGAATGAAGTTCACGTTTTTGCCGGATAAAGACATCTGGTTTGCTATCTTCTAGCTTGACTCCAGAGTTGCACCCCAAAAACTCGTATCCCTTCTTCAGCCCAGCAGCATGCCGCAAAAGCAAACGAAAAGATGATTTAGCAGAATTGCAACGAAACCAATGAACTTTTTCGAGGAACGGGGGACACGCTCGGTCATACACTTCATCGCGCATCCGCCCGTTCCTATCACATGAGGCGCCGACTGGAGGTCGACTTATCAGTACTGCCGTACGGCTTTGTCCGTACTGATAATTTCGTCAGTACTTCCAGCAAAGTACTGATATAGGCTCCTCAGAACCAGCGGCAAGAGGTCGACTGGCCGGTAAGCAGCATGCTAAGCACGGCTTTCGGCGCAGGGAGTGGACAAGCGGGACACCAATCTCTAGGTTGGTGAAAGGCGTTGTCTCGGATGCCATGAGGATCAGCCCGAAGGCCATACAAGGTTGTAGGTAGGTAGCCGCCGAATCAGCGAAAGATGTAGAAGAGGTCCGCACGAACGCGAAACCGAAAAGAAAACCTTGTGAAGAATGCCGCATAAGGAAGGATGAGGTAGCTACCCTCCTTGTTCCAAGATACAGAACAGAACAGCTTGAGTAACCCTACGGCAGATCGCAATGCCTGAGTACGGGAAGTCGCCATACCACAGGTATTGCTACTGTGCAGTCGAGATGCTGAAGCAGAAGTGTTGCGCATGTTGCAAAAAGGAGAGCAGGTGTAGTTCAATTTGATATGATGCGCGCGAGCGCGGAGCAAGAAAGGGCTTGGTGTACAGTCCGCGAAATTCGCAAGTTGAGAATCGGAGTCAGTAAATGGTGGTGGAGAGAGAGAGGAGAGGGAGGGCAGACTACTTAAGACTGCGGGCAGATGCGGGCGGGCTAAGGAGCGCACGGGCCACGTGTTTGCTCGAACCTGCCACCCTGCCTAGTCGTGAATTCACCGAGATATTTATACGCTCATCTTCACCTGCTATACACCGCCTTCACCTGTCGCTAATTTCGGGCGCAAGCGATATGACGCATCCTTCATTGTACTGAGATGTGTGCTGGAAGAGACCGATGTTCATTCACTTCAAGTTGCGTCACAGGTTGTAGTAAAATGATGATATTGATCGCGGCGTGATATGGATCATTTCTATTCTCTCGTCATCTACTCCAGATCTTTGTCCTTGCAGCCTTCCGGTGCGATAAGAGGATTGCATCTCGCAGCCAATCCTCCGGGAAGCCTGGCGACATAGTCCCAACCCCATCGACTGCTCATGCCCCAAGCTGGGAAATCGGTACTGACAATCTGCGCACCACTCTCGAAAGCTAAGTCCCTCATCTCTGTAGTGCGGTTCAAGATGGTATCGATGGGTATATCAGCACGTGTTCGGATCAAGTAGCCCTTCTTGACAAGACGCCGGATCTCTGCTGTGCCGTTGCCGCGCGGCTCATTGTATTTGATGAATGCAGCATCGGAAGATCCTTCGAGCGCATTGGTGAAGACAGTGCGGTTTTGTAGCGAGGGGGCGCCGGTTTTGTAGAGCTCGCGAGGCGAGTTCGGGTCACTGGGTTTTGGGTCGTTATCGAAGAAAAATAGAAGGCGGCCGCGAACATCCTTTAGCTTCGGCCAGCCTTGTTGCAAGATGGACTGCTCGAGGGTAAGACCACTCTTGCGCACGTCATCAGGGCGAATGAGTTGCTTCTTAGGAAATACAGAGAGGATCTCCGCGTCGACGTTCAAGAGGTGAGGGAGGGTCCAGTTTGTCGCTTCGCCAGGGCAGACACCGCCTAATGAACATGCCGGCGCATCGGTCTTGAGCTCGAGATCAATAGTGATAGGGACGTGTCTTGGATGTGCATCTGACCAACTCTTCAACTGCTTGAGACAGTCGATGAAGGTGTGGCAGACAGAATCGGGGTCGAAGTCTGTGACGTGGAACACCTTGATACCTGGCTTCTTCAGAATGTCACCATTGTAAGGAGTGGTGGCGTTTGTCAAGTTTGAGAGCGTCCATATGACAGGGGGATAGTACAGGCCGCCCTTTTCATCCGAATGTAAGTCGAGCTCGAAAGAGCGCACGGACTGGTACTCCAATTGATTGTCGAGCTCTGCGTGCGAGTAGTAGTAGTCTTCTGGAGACGGTACGTATTTCTCAAAGACTGGTCGCTCGGCGAGTGAGACTTCACGATGGTAGGAGTTGTGCGTTCCGATGACTTGAATATGGTTGAAACGGATGTCAGACTTGGATGCCAGTGCGCTTTCTATGTATTGTCAGCTTGGGCACCTCCGCGCAAGAAGACAACATACGAGCGAAGAGCATTACGCTCGCAGAAGCCTGATACCATTAGCATCCGTTCGTTCTCGCATGCCAGGAGTTATCCTTACCAATGATCCCAACATGTTGCTCTTTCCTTCTGAATTGAAGTCTGCGGTCAAGGTGAAGACGCACAAAGCAAACAAAAAGAGCGCGAGCAACAAGGCCCGACCTTTATACGCCATCGCACCCATGCTGTTCAGCGCGCAACGGCATGCACTAAAGCTCAGTTGTTGAAGTCGTTCCCGCCATGCGTCGCGTTGGCGTTAGCTCGTCGCGTGCGCTCATCGGGTCCCGCGATTGGTTCATCGCACCACGTGGGTTCAGTGCACCGGCTCGGAAATTTCTCAATGTAGAAGGTACAGATTCTGTAGGACCGTAAATCCGCACGTGCGTCACTTCGCGTTCGTGCGCGCTTCTGATGGAATAAAGACGCGTTGCAGTAGTTCGTTGCACGAAGCGATGACGCGGTGACAGGAGCTGCCAGGGGAAAAGCGGGGCAGGTCGCCTGTAACGGAAGGACCACCTTAACCATCAACAACATTGAAGGCCCCGGAAGATCTCATAGCGTGCTAAAATGCGCGAAAACCATTTTCCTGGAAAATCATCAATGTAGTATTTGTGCTTTGGATTACCACCGCACAAGAAGCTAACAGTCACTACCAACCATACTTCTGTCCATATCTGCCGACAAACCCTCCTACATCAGCATCTCTCTCGCCTTGCACAATCTGTAACAGTCCTAGCGCACTTGTCTCTGAACTCTCAAGGCCTTGTTCCTTCCTTTGCTCTTTGTCGTCTCCTATATCCGTCACCACATAGCCTGGGCAGTACGTCCAGACCTTGAAGCCATCTGGCTTGAGCTGGACGTACTGGTATGCCGTCAACATGTTGAGCGCAGCTTTAGTCATGCGATATCCGGGGTATTTAACCTGGGCGTAGGGAGAGCTGTGATCGGAGATCAAAGTGATGCTACCCATAGTAGAGGACACGTTGATGATGCGCGGATTGGATGAGCGCTTCATTGCGGGAATGAGAGCTTCTGTGAGGATGGTAGGGCCAAAGACGTTGGTTTCGAACGTGGTGCGCATCTGCTCTCGGTCTGGCCATGTGCCGTCTCTTTCGGGACATATACCAGCGTTGTTGATAAGCACATCGAGCTTGCTGAAGTCCTCCTCGATCTTCTTGGCAGCAGCTTTGATAGAATCGTCGTCATTGGCGTCGAGTTGCACCAGGGAGAGTGTGCCTTGGATGCCTGCTTTGGCTTGCACATCTTTCAAGACTGTTTCGCCTTTCGACATGTTGCGCGCGCCGATTATGACATGGTACTTTGGAGATGCAGAGGCAATATAAATGACGGTGTCCAGACCGATACCGTTGGTTGCTCCTACAGAGGCTATCAGTATGACGAGCTTGGTAAACGTCCGGAGGGCTGGTACCTGTTACGAGCACGACCTCCTTGTCTGGGTTCGAGGACATATTTATTTTGAATCGATTAGATTGTGGTAACGGATGATATGCAGATTTTCGACTGAAGTAGAGGATATGGATTTTGTGATACTCAAGCTGGAGTGGAAGGCGGGCGAATTTATATCTTGCCAGCGATTTAGCACAACATGAACGGGTCGTACGGATGTCCACCAGGCGTAATCCACGACGAATAGAGTACGGTCTGGAACTTGCTATAGACCAAATAGGTAATTGTAACATCAGAAACCCCGTAGATCGAGAAGGAGCGCCGGCCCGATCCGGAGTTAGTTGTCTAACTCCGATTCGCGCGGCCTGATGAAGTAATGCAAACGCCCCACAAAGACATGCTATGTGTGAAGACTTACTCATGTCTATCGTATATACGAACGCACGAATAGCAAATCGCTGCATGGTCAGATCTGAGGAGTGAGTGTATGGATGACTACATCGCAGGCTGCACTTAACGCATAAATCCGAGAGGCGCTGTCCGTTTAGAATACCGAGCCAGATCCCATGCATGGTGGACGAGAAGGTGTGACGCTGAATAGCATGACTCACAAAGAACAGGTAGGAACTGTCAGAGCATACCAGGATCGGTCTCCTCATAGGCTGTACGCAATTTCCAAGTGTTGATCGTATCGACGCTGTGCACCCCAGTGTGCCTTCACCCGTTCACTTGTGGCATCCAATTCTGACCTGCACCGCTTTTCCTGAGCGAGGAACGAAGCCTGTGCCAGAAGTACCCCAAAAACCCACCAAAGCCGTGTATTACATGTTGGTTAAAGCCGTGATAACATAATTTGCACTTGGCTGGCTTCTCTTTCGCAGCCTAGTTAATGGCGTTGGAAGTGCTTGTGACCGTTTCGAACACTCGAGGACGTGCTTGTAGTCTGGAAGCAATGAAGACGGATTTCACAATATCTTCTCAACAGTGATTCTGGACCTGCGCCACGACGATTCGATTTTGCACGGCCTTTGAAAGAGTGTGCAGGTTTCGTAAGACATAATCTACTAAGCAACTATGAGGATGTTAAGCCTGACTGCTTGAGACGAAGTCTGGGTAGATGTGGTAGGTCGGCACTTTTGTCGTCGCAAACATTCTCTTGATACAATGCCAGTACTTAGGACGCAAGACAAGTAGGGGGGTAATTGAGCATGTCACGATGGTTGACAGGAGGACGCGTGGGGTAAGAAATCTTGAGATTAGCGCGGCGCGACACGACGTCATGGCGGCTCAACCCACCAGACGTCTCAACGCGCCTAGAAGCGACCTGATGTCGCACTTTGTCGAGTCACTCAGCCCTGAACGCGCATAGCGCCGCCGACAAGATGCCCTCCCTTGTGCGCAAGCTGCTCATCTTCGCCGCCGTTGATGGTCTCATCCTCCAGCCGTCCCCGCCCCGCAACCATCCGCCCGCGACGCAGCAGGCCATCAAGGTCGACTACAAGGGCAACGTCGGCCCCCTGTTGAAAGACAGGCGCGAAGAAGAAACAGCGCCCGTGTCTGTGGAAGCGCATGGCATTATCGGTACGCGCGCAATCATCGGCGCATTGCGGCACAAGCTGACCCTACTCTAAGGACTACTCAAAGTGGCTACTTCCTACTTCCTGATATCCATATCCGACCGCGAACAGGTGGCGCTTATACGCGGCAAGCCCATCTACAAAATCACCGATGTCGCCCTCATCCCCCTCTCCTCGCAAGCCGACGCCGACAAGGCCATTGCAGCCACGCGTGATCATTTGAAGCGCCGCAACAGGGCACCCGGCCTGGAAGACGAAGATAGCGCTAGCGATAGCGAGGATGGCGCGCCCAGTGTGACGGACTCGCTTGTAGAGGACTCATCGTCCACACCAAGCGAGGTCAAGGATTCGGTCACCGGACAAAAAGGCAGTGCGCAGCGCAAGACAAGTGTGGCCGAAGACGTTATACAAAGAAAAGGTGTATATGGAAGATTCGCTGACAAGTGGTTCTCGCGCAAGGGTTGGAGTGCTGACAACAGGCGTCTGCAAGGGCTGAGCTCAGAAGAGAACCTGGCGGCAAACAACGTGCCGCAGAACGTTGACTCGGGGGTGCCCAAGGAAGAAGAACAACCTAAGAGCGAGTCTAAGCCGGATGCCATCCCTACAGATGACAAGGACATTTCGGAGCCAGTCAGCCCAGAAGCCATACCCAAGGCCCTGGGCGGCGAGAAGGACGCAGCCACTGTAGCACTCTTACCAAAGATTCTGCAGACCACCAAAATGTACTTTTCATCAGGCAACTTCTTCTTCTCATACGACTATGACATCTCACACGGTATTGGCCAGCAGCAAGCAAGTTCTAGTGTCGCCCTGTTTAAACAGTTCGATCCTTTGGTCAGTTTACACCCTGTCCATGTAACGGACGATTGCTCACCAGTATATAGTTCTTCTGGAATCAGCACATCATCGCACCTTTCATTGACGCGGGCCAGCATGCTTTTGTGCTCCCCGTAATGCAAGGCTTCGTTGGTCAACGACCTTTCACGATCAAGACAGCTGATGGCCAGTCGAACAGTCTTGTAGTCGACCCGAGTGCCACTCCAGATGACATCCAGCTCCAGTCCTGGCATGAAAAGCAGAAAGAGGACTCACAGTCCAATACGGAAAGCAATGGCGAAGCATCTGATCCCGATGCCTCTCTTGTGGACGGAAAAGACTTCCTGTTGACACTCATCTCGCGACGTTCTATCAAGCGAGCTGGGCTTCGTTACCTACGACGGGGTACAGATGACGAGGGCTGTACCGCGAATAGCGTCGAGACGGAACAGATCCTATCCAACCCGGCTTTTAGCACGACGCAAGACAAGATCTTCTCTTTCACACAGATTCGAGGCTCAATTCCCCTGTTCTTCTCTCAATCGCCCTACAGCCTTAAACCACAAGTCTCTACTTGGGGATCGTTTGAGACTAATGCTCGCGCTTTCAAGAAGCATTTTGCCGATCTGTCTTCACGCTATGGCGATATATACTGTGATTCGCTCATAGACAAACACGGTACTGAGGCGAAGATTGGTGAGCTTTATGAACAGCATTCGAGGTCGCTCAATGAGAATGGCGGGATGGACGGGAAAGGCAAGCAGCTGGGTTTCGAATGGTTCGACTTCCACAACGTGTGCCGCGGTATGCGCTTTGAAAACGTCTCGAAGCTGATGGATTCAATCGAACCTTTCATGAAATCTTCTGGATGGGTGGAGATCTTAGGAAATCAAGTACAGCAAAAGCAGTCAGGCGTCTTGCGTACAAACTGCATGGACTGTCTGGACCGCACCAACGTTGTTCAATCTGCGTGCGCCAGGACTGCTCTTGAAGCACAACTGTCAATGGGCAGTTACAGCATCGATCTCCAGAACGACCCCAGCACATCGTGGTTCAACACCCTCTGGGCTGACAATGGCGATGCCATATCTCGGCAGTATGCTGGCACTGCTGCGCTAAAGGGCGACTTTACGCGTACCCGGAAACGGCAGATAACTGGTGCGCTTACCGATTTCGGACTGACACTCACGAGATATTACAACAACATCGTGAACGACTACTTTGCTCAGGCAGTCATCGACTACCTTCTCGGTCGCGCTACCGATACCATCTTCGCGGAATTCGAAGCCGATATGAAGAGCTCAGATTACTTTATAGATGTGCGCAAAGTGCGGCAGCAGGCCATTGAGCGTTCTGCTGGAATCGTGATTGAGGATCGCGACGAAGACCTGGTACATGGATGGACGTTGAGCGTACCCACTGCTGTTAACCAGGTCAAGACTGCTACCTTTGAGGAAGCAGTCCTTCTACTAACAGAAAAGGCCTTGTACTTCTGCCGTCTCGACTGGGGAACAGAGAAAGTACGCGAGTTCGAGCGTATCCCGCTGGAGAACGTGCAAGGCCTCATGCGAGGTGTGTACGTTACGTCCACACTGGCGCAACGACACACCGACACAGACAAGAACGTTGGTCTCATCATACGATATCGAGCCGATACCAAGGGCGAGCTAGTACGGCGCAATACAAGGGCTCTAGATTCCGGAGCCGCCAGCGATGAGCAACGCAAAGACGACGCCAAGAAAGACCAGAAGCAGGATACTGCGGGCCGCTTCCTAGCGTTCAAAGCGCTTCCACCGAGAAGCAGCGTTCCGTCATCCCCTGGCGACAACCCTGACAATGAAGGCGAGGTTGTCAAATCGGTATGCGATGAGATTGTGAGGATCGCCAATGAGATGAAGAAGGGCGGCAGGGATGAAGACAGGACACTGAAAGTAGAGGAAAAGGATATAATCAGCCTTGTGGACGCGAAGAAGAGTACCGGCTACCTGGAACAGTTTGAGTATTCCTTGAAGAAGCTTGTTTGGGGCTAAGCCCGGTCTGATACTGGCCATGTATAATGTCTTGTCGTTTCTCATTGTATCTTGTTCAGGAAGCCGTACATAAACCTTTGGAAAGATGCTCGTATCATGCAATACAATCATCCTGTAGATAGTTACGTTTCCACCATACGGTGTGTCTGAATCGTGGACTTGCCTTGATTGGGGTATAATCTCCTTGCTCCCTATACTTCCCGATGGTCTCGGACGGTCACATCAAGAACAGCGGAGTCCAGCGACCAGCACGGCGGATTCACGGCGCTTCCAGGTCCCGGCGACTGAGGTGCGTGTGGGGACAATGCGGGTGGCTGCTGGCTACCTGACAAGCTTGCGAGAGCTATATCGGGAAATGCATCCGCTTTACTTGTGCAGCACTGCATGTCGAGGGTGCTAAGTGATGTGATACTAAAGACTTGAGAGCGGTGCACCGAGATATATGAGGAAGTCGCGTCACAAGCAAGCCAGCTGGGAAGTAATGAAAGCACTGGTAAGCATCGACCCAGTTTCCTCTCCGCGCTCCAACATCTCCTTTCCCCATCCATCCTCTGCCCGGCGACTCCACTATTCCACGCGATGAAGCGCTTGCGTCGCTGGGACTTGTTTAATCATCAGCGGACCCGCGCCGCATCTTTT